ACAGGCTCTGAGAAGTGTGCAGGTGTGCGTGACGTACCGTGGTGGTGGTGATGATCTCTTCAGTCACAACCCTCAGTGTGTCCACCACAGAAATATAACCCAGCCTGCGAGCAATTCCCAGAGCTGTGTTGCCATTCTGCACAGGAAAGCAAACCATTATATGTGTGTGCATGTGTGTGTGCGCGTGTGTGAGTGCGTGTTAGTGTGTGTGTGTTTGCATACCACAGTGGTAGCGTTGGGTTTGGCTCCGTACTGCAGCAGCACATTGATGATGTGTGTGTTTCCTTGCTGCGCTGCCTGGTGCAGGGGAGTGTATCCGTTCTGAAAGCACAGCAGAGGTGAGTCCTGTTCGTTCAGCTCTCATAAAAACACCACAGCTGCTTTTCAGTACCTTAGTCTTGGCATTGACACTTGCGCCGTTCTGAAGGAGGAAGTTGACCATCTTTGCGTTTCCATAGTGACACGCTACAATCAGTGGCGTGTAGCCCAACTGTGAAGCAAAAACAGACCAGTTACATTTCTTTAAGTCATGAATAACAACCTCAGAAGCTGTTACTGTTATTAAAGGGAAGAAAACCCTTTTTCAGACCTTGGTCTGCTGGTCCAGGTTGGCACCGTTTCTGGCCAGAATCTCAGCAACGGCCACTTTGTCCTCCTGAGCTGCCAAATGAAGGGCAGTCAGGCCACTCTGCAGGAGCAACACACAGACAAGCATTAGCGCTGTTAGCTTATGATAGTGACAGTGCCCTATACCAAACTATCAGAAACACTGTTGGTTTAATAACCAACACAGATTTAGCCGTTACTCTGCAGGACACAGAGGACAGGAACTGTGCACAGTTTATTATCATTATTTATATTTATTTAATTCCATGTATTGTATGAACCTTTTCTTTCTTACTGTTGACATTTCTAGTTGTGGACACATTCGTAGCTTTATTAACAGCAGCAGCTCTAAACAGGGCAGAGATGCATCACTGGGTGAGTTTCCACGGTACCTTGGTGGGAACGTTGATTTGAGCTCCTTTGGTTATTAGCAGAGCGGCCATGTCCGCATGACCCTCCTGGGAGGCCAGATGGAGTGGAGTGACCCCCTGCTTGGTCAGGATGTTAGTCTCTGCTCCGTAACGCAGCAGCACTGTGGCGATCTCCATCTGGTTCTTTTTAGCCGCAATATGCAGAGGAGTGTAGCCGTTCTGATTGGTGCAGGACACACGCGAGAGTTGCTGGTCAGCAAATGTTGAATATTATCTTTACTTTTAATACGACTGTTTATCAGAGTTTGGCAGTGAATGCATGCTGATGATGTTACTCACTCCTCACATATGAGTCAGTCACACACGCTTTCATTAGTGTGAATGCGCAGGCTGTGCTCTATTGTGGCTCAATAACACAGACTATCCTGCTTCAAATGTAATGGATTCATCAGCAGCTGAATCATCAAACACTGTTCCTCCTCCTGAGGGAATTTCAGATTTCGTTGAGGCTTCAGAGACTTTTTTTAAAGCTGTCTTTAAAAAGAGGACCGAGCCGTCAGCTGTGACGTCCCTCTGGCTCAGAACAATCCTATTATATACTACATCTGTGCTCTGTTGAATCACCTTTGCCATTGTGTGTGGTGACGCTCCTTTGTCCAAGAGCAGGAGCGCCACATTCTGGTTATCATAATGTGCTGCAACGTGGAGCGAGGTGAGGCCATTCTGTAAGGTATGGAAGGATTACACAGAAGCTTTAGAAGGTGAGAATTAAAGTAATATTAGACAGCATCACCAGCTAGGCTCTTATTATGAACACAAAAATGTGCATGAAGGAGTGAAAACAAGATCACTGATGTGAACAGGCACCTGTTAGCTTTTTGAGTCAGGGTTAGTCTAAATGAAGGGACAGCTGATTTTTTAAACTGTACCAGCATTCCTGCAGTAAACTTGTAGTTAACAATTCAATAAAATAAACACATCTCATTGTTTTACAATACATGCTATGAATTTTAAGGATAGCAAGTTTCTGTTTGGATCCATACCTTCCCAGCAGAGTCAGGAGGGGCGCGACGCTGTAGCAGAAGTTTGGCTACATCCAGGCTTCCATACTTTGCGGCCACATGCAGCGGAGTAAAACCTTTCTGTATTAGGAGACAAC